CCCCCCCTCTATACCAACCATGTCATCCCCGGAAACCCCCAACAAACCCCCAATCCGGCGCTTCCCCGCGACCACCCCACCGCAAACCCTGTGGCAAGCGGTCTGCGACGACGGCGCCGCCATAATCGAAGGCTTTCTCCCCGGCTCCACGATGGAGAAATTCGACCAAGAGCTCTCGCACCGCTCCGCCACGACGACTGGAGGCCAAATGAACCAAGAATTCTACCAAATGCCGGTCCCCACCACGACGAAATGGATGAACGACCTGACCGCCACATGCCCGACCTTCCGGCACGAGATCCTCAACAACCCGGTCCTGCACCGCCTGTGCGAGGAGGTCTTCACGCGGACGCACGGGGACTACTGGCTCCTCAACGGGATGGCCATGGAGATGATGCCGGGCAACCCGACCCAGGAGCTGCACAACGACCACGGCACGCACCCGATCCTGCAGTATCTGGCGGACGACGCCCCGTCGCCGGTGTTCAGTATTATCACGGCGGTGAACGAGTTCACGGAGGCGAATGGCGCCACGCGCGTGATCCTGGGGAGTCATCGGTGGCCGAGGGGCCAGCGCGGGACGGATGAGCAGACGGTCCGGGCGGTGCTTCAGCCCGGGGACGCGTTGGTGCTGTACCGGACGACGAAGCATGGCGGGGCGGCGCACGGCGCGGAGAACCCCGATCATCGACGCTTGTTGTTGCTGTCGGTCGGGAGCTGTCAGCTCGCTCCGTACGAGACGCATGTCACCGTGCCGCGGGCGGTGGTGGAGAGTATGACGCCCCTGGCGCAGAAGATGATCGGGTGGCGGAGTACAAAGCCGGTGATTTCGAATGTCACGGGGTTGAATACGGTGCGTATGAAGCATTTGGAGACGCAGATTGGGTTGAGGTCGGAGGTGCCGTTGGAGGGGGAGTGTTGAGATTGCTGCCATGGGGTGGTTTCGGTGTTGATGCCGGGAAGGGGGACTGGCTGGTGGGCTGAGGATTGGGAAATTTACGTGGATTCGTTCCTGCTTAGGAAGAGACTGTTAATTTACCCATAAATCTTCCAACCTGATAATCACAATTTCGCTCATAAGGATACTTGTTCTCGTCGTAAAGGTAGGAATTAAATCGCTGAGAGAACCCCTGTCCAGCCCAATAGATAGGCAGATACTCAGATCCAAACTACCTAGGCACGGTGTTGAACATGACCACATCGCATTTCTCTGTTCCATCCGTCAACTCTACAACCTCTACATCCATTTCCCCCGTGAGGTTCCTCAAGCCCTCCTGCTCGGCCAAGAACACATCTGCTGCCCTCTCCCGCAAAGTTTTCAGGTACGCTGCGTAGTCGTCCGCTGCCTCGGTCCTCTGTTCCCCTTTCTTATCATGCAGCAAAGCGGCCCCGGCCCTAGGAACGTGGGGATGAATCTGGCAGGGCCCCGACAGACACTCCTCGAAGTGGACCGTGCTAACCTCATAGGCGTAAACGATGTCGGCAGGCGGTTGCCACTCCTCCACCACCGGCTCATGTCCACCAATGATTGCCTCAGCCTCAACAAGGCCCGGGTCTGCTTCCGTGCCAAGAAGCCGTGCTGTTATTGTCGCCTTCGTCTCCCGGCTCTCGAGAGAAGGCCTTCTCATCGTGAATCCCTCGGCAACCTTGATGCCCGTGATCATGAACACTGACGTCCGGCCAAACCCGCTTCGCATCACACTCTGTACTTCCGGATGCAAGCTGCGCTCAGTGGCCTCCTCATTGGTAGGGTAATCGTGTAGATGGATGGTGTCCAGCCGCTCGTAGAAGTGATTCGCAGGGTCAAGCACAGTGCCTCCACCACCGACAGCGGTATCAGCGAAGCGCATGAATCTCGTCCAAAGTTGCCCGTGGAGTGTGGTCAACTCGTCATCACTCTTCAACATGCCCTCGACATCTGTGTGTAATGCGAGTATGGCAGGCTTCGTGGGGCTGCTGAGGGTCTTAGTTGGTTCTCGCCAGTCGGCGACGATATCTCCCGGGTTGATCGCGTAAAGGTGGTGATAGTCAAAGCCAGGCACTAGAATATAGGATTCATTCATGCTTTCCATCACTGTGTACAGTCAGTCAGGTTGTTCATCAAGCTACTCCGTCGGGATCTGGGTCTTGCCGTCTTAACGACAGGGTTTTCTCGACGGTGCGGCTTGGCTTGACAAGGTGGAGAAGGAGAGATGTGAGCGAGCAAGAAGGAAGGAAGCGTTGATCAAACTGACGATGTGGCAGGAAACAGAATGACATAGATAATGGCCACCTAGCAGTAGAAGCGGACGACTGCCATTTCCCACTGTGAAATTTTGCCTGTTTGGTGGAGCATGGAAGTTAGGCCACGGAAGGTGACATGAGCTAGATCGTCATCCAGACCTAACGTCTGCAAACGCCATCGCTCAATTGCCTAGAATTTTCTTGTCAGCCTGAGACATCGAGGGCGGAAGCCATGGACGGCAATCAGAAGCTTCATTGGGCTGTTTGCAAGTTATCACTTCGGCCTGGTGAGTGTCCCATGTCTCAGCCATGCTGTTGTTAGGTGTGATGGGCCACTGGCTGAGACGAACCCTCCCAGTTAAACAAAGGTGACTTGTGATGCAATTCCCACTTGAAGCCTTTCACAGCTCACCATCTGGCAACAAAACATTGGATGAATTATTGCTGATGGCTAGACTTAGCCAAATGGGGGCAAACAGATGAACAGCTGCTGATGAGACTCAAACGCATGATCAAATAACGAACAAGGCTGGTTTGCGCGTCCTGTTTGGCGCTCCCGAAGGTACCTCTCGTATCTCCTAACTGCTAGTTTCGGACCCAGGAGCTGAAGCTTGGTAGGTGTTGTCTATCAGCTCTGGCTGAAGCGGCATGCGCCGGCAGAAACATGAAGCCTGAGGCCACACACGGGTTGGATAGTGAGGCGCCTGCCTCTATTTTTGGGTGTGTTTTGCCCCACCGTGGACCTGGCGCGCTGCCCCTTGTAAAAGCGGCGGGAACCCCGCATGGGAAGGTCGATTTGGCCTCACATTTCACTCTCTTGTTGCCATCTTCAACACTTTCAAGAGGGTCGAAGGACCCCTCAGTGCCTCCAGCTCAATGGACTGTCTACCACCCGAGCTCATTCTCTCTATTGGCCAGCTCATCGAAAAGCATACACTATGTTCCCTGATCCGATGCTGTCGGCGACTATACGACGTCCTTCAACCGCTTTTCTATTCCGAGATCCGACTGGTCCCACCCTTGTCAGACAGCTATGTGTCTCTTGTTATGCGCCTATGGCGATGTCCCGACCTGGCTAGTCTTGTGCGCCACGCCGAGATTCATCTCCCGATTATTCGTCACCCCCGCCGTCAATATCAGCTGGACGAGAAGAAGGTACCTGAGCTCCAAGAGTTCATTCAGGATGTACAGAATGAGATGTTCGATCTCAAGGACAAGCGCAGACGTGATTGGTGGGGAACGAAACTGCGAAGCAGTGATTGGTGCTTCTGGCTGGGAGTGTTGCTTGTCCGGTTGACACGTCTCGAGAGCATTGAGTTTGTGGGCCTTTACAACAATAGTGCCATTTGTGATCTTCTGTACAGGGCCGGGAAACAGCAGCGGCCCTTCGACGAAACCTCCCCGTACCCTCTTCTGCGGCACATTTCGGTCCGAGACTGCGAGCAGGGGTTCGATCTCGAAGAAGTCCTGACACCTTTCTTCTACTTCCCAGCCGTGGAAACAGTTGATGTCAGCCAGCTGTGGGAGGGTCGAGGACGGGATGATCCTCTCGAGTGGCGGCGAGAGGCCAGCTGCGACCGTTGCCCGGTCAAACGGATAGACATTCGATCCTTGAAGCACTCGCGCGGCACACTCACCTGGCTCGCAGACTGCACGGAGCTGGAGCATATCTCAGTGCGAATCGCCTGCATCTTCGTCGGCTACCCTGAGATCCGGTTCGGGGTGCCCTTCAACCCCGCGCGCTTTGTTCGAGCCCTTCTTCCGTTCAGAAAGACCTTGAAAAGTCTGCACATCGAATACGACCAAGTATACCATGCCTTACTGAACGCCCCCGGGCCGGTAGAACTATACTATGAGGACATCTATTGGCTCACCGAGGACGAGCAGAACCTGGATCATTGCAATGCGCCCGTGGATTCGATTCGCGACTTCGAAGTCCTCGAAGAGGTGACCCTGCGACACGCCAACCTCTTACCAGCCGTGGATGGAGCTTCTGCTCGAGGGATTCTCGCGGATCGGCTCCCGAGATCCCTCCGACGTCTTCGTGTTCTCAACATCGTGGAAACCCGCTACGCAGATCTACTTGCGGAGCTCACCATCCTCGTCACCACTGCCCGCAATGCCTTCCCCGATCTGACCCAAATCCAGCTCCCGAGAAACACAGTGGACGAGATGTCATTACCCCCTTTCCAACAGGACTGCACAAACGCGGGAGTATCATTCGAATACTTCTAGATCCGTCCAAATGCCAAGCAACCCACGAAAGTCAAAAACACCCAACCATTCACTTCCACCCCTCCTCTATCCACACTCCCTATCCTTTTACAAACAAGTCAACAAATCCCCCAACCTCTCCAACACCACGCCCTGCACAGTGGCATTCGCATCAAGCTTATCGCTCGCCAAGCCCACCGAAACACTAACATAGCACCCATCGGAGTCCACCACAGCCGTCTCGGTCGGCAAGCGCGTCGACCCGCAAGTCTCGACATCATCCGCCGTGATCAACGGCAGCGCCGTATGGATCCGCGACAACACAAAGCTGAACTCATCCGCCGTCGCGCAACTACCCCCGTCCGTCACCGCCCCGAAGTTCACATTCAACCACACATTCTCGGGGAGGTACGGCGCTTCCCCGCCCGCGATCAGCTGATCCGTCAGCTTGGTCGCCAGCTCCGCGTACACCTGGCTGTACAGGGGCACGGCCGAGACGTTCCACGCCGTCTGCGCGCCCGTCGCGCCCGAGAACGCGATCGCGGGGATCCCCGCCGTGTTGGCCGCGTAGGTGGCGGCGCCGACGGTCCCCGAGAAGAACACCTCCCACCCGAGGTTGGAGCCCACGTTAGGACCCGTCACGGCGAGGTCGGGGCTGGCGCCGGAGAAAAATGTCGAGGCCAGCGTGTTGATGCCGTATTTGATCGACGTGACCGGGTAGGAGTTGACGTAGTTGAAGCGCGGTTCCGTCGCGTTGGAGCCGTAGGCCGGGCTGCCGGCGGGGCAGCTGTCGAATTCGCAGGCTGAGGTTAGAACGGTCGGGGTGCCGTCGTCGGAGCCTGTTGTTCTCTGGTTTAGTATTATAGGAGTAGTTGCGGGTGGGTTTGAGAGATTGGGAGTATCTCTGTTGTTACTGTGAGGTCTGGGAGGAATATGCTATGCTATACATACCAGTGCCACTCTCATTCTCAGCCGGGGCGGAGATCACCACCGAATGGCCTGCCTCGGTGAGGGAATCGTAGAGCTGCCGAATGTTGATCTCGGCCCAGCCATCATCATTCGACGAGATAATGTTGACAGCGTGCGCGGAGAGAGGCAAGAGCGCGAGGGCACTAGCGACCGGGAAATGCATGATTGCGGACGGACTCTGTGAGCGACACAAATACAAAGTGTCAAGTGTCTACGGTAGGGGCACGAGGCGCCGGGTCTATATAGCTGGTGGTGCCGTCGCTAATTTACCTAGAAGCTACTACATTATGCCAGGAACTTTTTCCATGGAAGAATAACCGAGCTATTATCCACTCGAAAGCCAAGTTTCGGCAGCTTAACGGTTAATCCTTTCCCCCTCTGCTTCCGAGGCCAGGAACAGCAGGTTGACATGTCGATCGCCGAGGATACGCTGCCTGTCACCAACCAGTGCAGCCACGTGCAGGGCGAATTCCTCGGCTATAATGTTTATGATGCACAATTAATCTACGGAGATAAAATGGCCCCAGGTGTCTGTCTCTATTCAGGACAATATTGAAGGGGACGGCAAGTGGGTCCTGCCGCACCACCCATCGATCCATCAATGCTTCATTGTTCGAGCACATGGGCTTTCCTGGCTTGTTCACAATTTCTGCATGCAGAGCCTGGCTAGTACTCACGGAACGCCAGCGGTCCGTCCCCAGAGCCGCTCGGCCAGATTCTGCACCAGCTGCAGCTTTTCCCACATCTTCTCGTCCGTCATCCCAATGCCCCGACCGCGACTGATGCTCGAGAACCCACACTGCGGACTCACCCCTAATGTAGTGTCGAGGACCTCCTGTCGACTACGGCCCTGACCCTGAGCAATCACGTCCGCTGCCGCGTTCACGCGGGCCTCGAGCTCGTCCAGGGACTCCATCTCCGGACTCTTAGTCGAGACGACGCCCAGCACCACGTTCTTGCCTACCGGCAGGTACCGCAGCGGCTGGAAGTCACCTGCTCGCTCTGTGTCATACTCGAGATAGAAGGTATCGAAGTCCAGTCCCGTGAACAGACGCCGCGCAATGCGCTCATACGAGCCACTGATGATGTGGGTGGACCCGGGCATATTGCCCCGACAGAGATGGATGCCCACGTGCAAGTCCGCTGGCCGACCCACCAGGCACTGGTTGTGTGCCCAGATGTATAACTCCAGCAGCTCGTCCGGATCAATCCCATCCGCGCGGCAGCCCGAGCGGAACTCGTCCGTCACGAAATACAGCAGCTGGGGGTCGTCCACCTGGATCGACCGCAGGCCTGCATCGTACAACGTCCGCAGCTCCTGAGCGTACGCTTGGGCCAGATCGGCAAAGTACTCTTTATCCGTCGTGTAGGGGCTACGATCGGTAAAGGCGGTGCCGGCGCGCAGCTGCAGATGCTGCCAGGTGATAGGGGGGATGGTGACCTTGCACTCTTTCCATTCCGCCGGGGGCACAAGGCTGCGCAGGTACTCCCAGTCCGCGAGGTACGGGCTCTCAGCGTAGCGGATCTTGTCGACGGCAATTACTGCTTCGCGGGCGGTCATCCCGTTGCGGATCATGACGTTCACCACGGGAAGTCCATTTCGTAGTCCCGCGGGAACAGGCACGTCCGGGACAATCTTGAAGCCGTGGAGGCGTTCGAAGAAGCCGGAATAGTAGATGGTTCGCTCATATTCTCCGGACATGATGGGTCGGACCTTCCGCTGCAGTTGCTGCTCGACCACTCGGGCGATGGCATCCTCTGTGATCTTTCTGAGGGCATCAGGGACCGGTTCGGTGGTATACGACACGAGCTGTCCGGCGGTAGCCCGAGCGGCGACAAGTTCATCGGGCCGGAGCAGCGATCCTATCTGCTCGGCGCGAAACTGGGGAGCCATGATGCTGACGATTGTTTCTGTATTTCTTGGCTTTTATCTAGGGCGTGTTCCACGGGAATATGTAACAAAACTCCTCAATTCCTTCCCAGGGCGTCGAGAAGAGGCTGGCGTTTTGAGGGGAAGGAATCCGGGGTCAGACGTGCGGAGAACGGTGGAGCGCGAGTGCGGAGTTGACTGCGGATAAGATCATATCCAGCACAGACCGTCAGCCTCCGCCAATTTTCCCCATAGCCAACCACTGTTGTACTCAACTGCATGACGGCAGCATTGTCAGCAGGGTTCCTCACCGCAAGCCATAGAGACTGGCGCAGGTGATCAATGGCATGGATGATACATCCACTAGAGCTCTGAAGGAGGTTTCAGTTTGCGGTAAGTACGACCGTTTCTCCGACTCGTCCAGTCTGGCTCAATTTGGTTGGTTAGTAAAGACTCGGACCACACCATGTTTGCTTTTGCACTATGGTTCTTTGGTGACATCCAACTTGATTGTTGCGGCAGTCATTCCTGACAGCTTGACGAGCAAATCGGCGAGCACATGCATGTCCATTTGCGGCAACTCGCACCGAATGAATAAACATATTGGTGACACTTCGATCAGCCCCACAGCTCCAGCACCAGGTACTCTCCCTGTAGTAAGTTGCATAAGCTGGTAACAGAATGAAAGTGTGGGTCAGGTGAATGGCATTGTCTCAGGCCGCTCCTAGTGTTGTGGGCTTGCTGGTAACATGATCTTTCTGCTTTCAAGTCTGAGGTTTGTACTGTCTCCCTGTCACTCTCATTCTTTGTAAAACTGGTGTGAGTATACTCGAGTGCTGTACAACAGCAGTACAAGAGATGCCTCCATCACGAGGAGTGAATTAAAGAATTGGAGAAGGCATCAGGGCGACATGGATGCTTCCTCGCCCAAAAGGGTTAGCAGCCATCCTCCCGTGCTAGCACGTGACCCTATCACTACACCCAATGCGGACAGCCTGCTTACCAAGCCGCGTCACACACATCTCGGTTTCATCCAGCGTGCCGATTGGCAGTCCATGATCTTGCCGGTGGATGTTCTGCGTATCTCCCACCAATTGCACTCACTTCGATCACTACTTTTTCCAGTCTCCATGACGCACTCCTTGAAGTAGTCCCTGAATTATCATCCAATCGATGCATGGCCACTAGGGATTAACTCAGGCGGGCGTTCGCCTTGGCTTCGACTTCTCTCCTGCAATCCCCAGGGCAGTGAGGGAGCACATTTTCCCAACTTCATTCTCTCGTTATCCAAAATCCACCCAATTGTGCAGGCAGGCAGCGCCTCCTCGCCTCTCCTAATCTACTCAGCACCCATATAGTCCCTCATTCACCTACCCTCTGCATGCTTTGAAGAAAAAAACCCACGTATGCCCCAATTTATCCCTGGCAACACCAGCAACAACAACACCACGGGCCTCGAGCGGCGCCTGGGGGACCCGAACGTCGAGGAGTATGTGTTCCCGATCCTGATCGCGCTGGCGTGGTGCAACGCGCTGGAGCTGCTGGTGCTGTGCTTCAACACCTTCAAGCGGTACGCGGGGCCCTACTTCTGGAGCCTGCTGGTCGCCTCGGTCAGCATCCTGCCCTTCGGGCTGGGCTACCTGCTGAAGATGTTCGACATCACCGCGACGCACTTCTACCTGGAGATCGCCATCTCGGATCTCGGCTGGGCCGGCATGGTGACCGGCCAGTCGCTGGTGCTCTGGTCGCGGCTGCACCTGGTGCTGCACAACCGGCGCCTGCTGCGCGCGCTGTTCTGGCTGATCGCCGTCGACGGCGTGCTGCTGCACGGCTGCGCCACCGCGCTGGAGTTCGCGACCAACGCCCGGCCGGACTCCCGCGCCGTCTCCCTCGGGTTCGGCGTTGTCGAGCGCATCCAGGTCACCTGGTTCTGCGTCCAGGAGCTGCTCCTCTCCGGCGTCTACATCGTCGCCACCGCCCGCCTGCTCCGCCTCGACAGCGGCAGCCCCGCCTCGCGCGCCCTCCTCTCCCAGCTCCTCCTCGTCAACGTCCTCATCGTCTTCCTGGACCTCGCCGTCGTCGCCATCCAGTGGGCCGGCTTCTTCACCTTCCAGGTCACCTTCAAGGCCCTCGCCTACAGCATCAAGCTGAAGCTCGAGTACATTATCCTGGGGAGGCTCGTCGATGTCGCCCACATCCGCACCCAGGGCGCCGGGCCCCGGTTTCGCATATAGACACACAGATGGATCATTAGAGCTAGGCGGGACGCAGCGTATGACCGTTTTACGGCCCATTCTTTTCTTCTATGTATATACTTCATCTTTTATTAAGCCGTGTACATTCAATAGACCAAGAACTTTACTCAGATTCCCCGGATCCCCACAAAGCATGAGCTCGTGACTGCCGGCAATAGGGTATGACGCGCTACACCCCAAACCCACCACGACCGGTACCCTTTCCACCTCCGACCCACAAAAATTATCGAACCGCACATGGGGGAGCCCGGAGCCTGTGGAGAATGTAATACTAGCACAGCGTCATCCCGGATTCTCCCGCTCCACCCTCCTTTCTCTGGTCCCTCCTGCAAAGAGGAAGATCTCGGTTGCTAGCAATCATCGCTTTTTTCTGTCTGTCATTCACCACCATTCAGACTCTAATTCCCCGAACTCACTTGAGAAGATGGCATACCATAATACAAAGCGCGGAGGACAGCTGAGGTGAGCAAGACTTTTTAGGATTTGCGTTCCAAAATATGTCAATGTATGGATATGTATAGACACTGTAACAAGAGATATAGACGATCAATCTGATCTACACTTGAACCCAGATATAGACAGTGTGTGCAAGGGGGTCTGGGTCACTATTTACAACCACCAAGATCTCAAGTCTTCTTCGCCTCCGTCTGCTCGGCCTCGATCTCCAGCCGCTGCGCCTGGACCATGGTCGCGATCGCGTCCTCGGTCTTGAGGTAGGTGTGGCGGCCCTGGAGGAACCAGAACCCGACGGCCACGACGAGCATGACCCCGAACACGGCGATCGCCCAGTTCATGTCGCTGGCGGACGGGTTGGGGGCGCCGGGAAACAGGAAGAAGATCGTGGTCACGATGCAGTAGATGACGCTGATGTAGTTGATGGGGGCGCCCCAGCGGCCGAGGTGGAACTCGCCGGGCGGCAGCTTGTCGCGGCCGACGATCAGCAGCGCGGCGATGGGGAGGCCGTACGAGATGGTCAGCGCGATCGTGCTGACGCTCAGGATCGCTTGGAGGACGGTGTCGGCGAACAGGTACAGGACCCCGACCAGCGCGATCAGAAAGCCCTGGAACCACAGCGCCCGCGCGGGCACCTTCCACACCGGGTCGACGTGCATCAGATACCCGCTCCAGGGCAGGCCGCCGTCGCGCGCGAAGCCCCAGGTGAGCCGGGAGGCGGTGGTGAGGATGCTGATGCCCTGTCCGAGGCCGTTGAAGATGAACAAGGCCAAGAGGGTGGCGCCGCCTTCTAGCCCCACGGTTTCCAACATTAACTCCATGAAGGGCAGGCCGGTCGCTGAGTTGATGACGTTGTCAACGTCCTGAATCGAGAACAGGCAGACCACCATGAAGATAAAACCGGTGATCGCACCCATCAGGACCGAAAGCCAGATCACGCGCGGGGCGTTGCGGCGCGGCGCGGGAATCTCCTCCACCATGTGGATCACTGCGTCAAAGGCTGTCAGTCCGTACGCCGCCTGCACCAGCCCAATGAACCACACCACCCCGTCGTCCCAGCCGGTCTCATTCATCCAATTCCCAAAGACAAACGAGGCCGGCTGAAAGGTGAGATCTTTCTTGACGCCCACGGAGATGAGCAGGGCGAGGGAGAGGATGACGAACAGCGCGGTGAACCACACTCCCACAAAGTTGTTCAGCCACGGCAGGAACTTCTCCTTCCGGCAGCCGAGGAGGTTGACCAGCGTCAGCACCAGGACGCATCCGATGTAGACGACGAATTCCAGCCAACCCGTGCCAGCGCCGCCCCACGAGTTGTCGAACAGGACCTTCATCCCCAGCAGGAACTCGGTCATGAAGGCCACCTGCGAGGCCGTCAGGGTCCACCACCCGAAGGTGTTGATCCACGCACACATGTACGAGGCAAAGCGACCCAACGGGGTCTCCCAGAGTCGGAAGACCCAGTAGGCCTGGCCCAAGGCCGTGGGCATACTACTGGTCAGCTCCCCAAGGGAGACAGCAACACACAAATTACATGCGGTGACCAGAACAAGACCCCACAGAATGGAGATGGGACCTCCATTGGTAAGCCCACTGTCAAGATCCTGAGCAAAAGTGGAATAGGTGCCTGATTGGTGCCTCAAAATTAGTTCATGGGGTTTTTTTTCTCTCTCTCGGCTAAGTTCAAGTGGGTCGGGAGCGGAAAAACAAGGACCGGCCGGCCACATTGTCTGAGTGAACAAGTGACGCAAGAAAGCACACACACACCTAGAACGCAGAAGGCTAGCGAGAGCATGCTCCAGATATCGAATTTGCGCGACAGGGCTTGGTCATGGCCCATCGCGGCGAGGTCGCTGGCATCTTGGGCATGTTGATCGCCCGAGTGGAACGGCTTGAGGGTTTCGGGGTTTTCCACGTCCATACGGGAGGGAGATTTGCAGAAAAATGATTGTTGTTGTTTTCAATGGATTGGTTGGATGTACAGTACTGTCAACCGACAGATAGCGCAATGTATTCGAAGGAGAGGCAGTTCATCCAACTGTCCATTTTCTGCTGACTGAGGAAAGAGTCACTCTCTGTGAGATGTCTGAGGGGTGCTTGATATATGAACCAAGCGAAGGAAAGGTGCAGCAGTTAAGTGTGGCAGTCCTCGGGTTATTTCCCCTCACGGCGCGAGCATTCTGGGGGGGGCAGGCAGCACAACAAGATGGGTGATGGGAGAGGAGTTATCGAGTCTGGGAGGGGAAAGATAATCAATGAATTGGGTAATTGGTCATAACTCAGATTCCGTGAGTGGACAAAAAAGATAAGTTGGTGATAAGCGAAATTTTTTTTAAAGATTTGCGGGGGGGGAAACAGAGGCTTGGCTTGGGAAAAGAAGTGCTTAAGGCTCGGCAGGACTTCCCAAGTGGGGTTGGCAGCTTTTTTGACCCCATCCACCCTTTCATTATTCTCTTGCGGGCTGTCATGCATTCAATGCTTGAACCAGATATCTCTTATTCAGTTCGATATCAAACGTCTATGAACTCCAAATTGTTTGTAGAGATGGATATTGCATCACACTGCTGTATCTCGTCTACTCCCTCGACTAACCTGCCCGATGGTTACTCAAATGACATCACTCCCTCCGGCAGTCTTCTTCCGAGGTAAACAAATACGTCAAATCCCTTGGGGAATACTGGATCCATGACAGTTGGAAGATTTGCCCCTATCTATCGATCTTAACTGTCATAATCGACGGTTGCAGCAGAGCCGTCCCGTGAGCTTCCCCTCGAACCAAGATAGTAGGCTCCCTGTGACACTCCTCAGCATCATCCTTAATCCCGATCCGGCAAGTGCACGCGGTGGCGATAAGTCCGTCCGGGGAACCGATTGTCGATCGGATCCATGGCTTGTTATCTCCTCCGTGGACCAGCTTTCTCCAACTACCGGTATAGCCATAGTTGAACACATTGTGATGGAATCGATACGAGGAGCTCAATTGATCATTTGACATCTGATTCTGATTCATCTCCCAGATACCTTGTCGACATCCACCTTGACGAGGCATCCCAAGATCTACAACAACCTCCTGCTTTTACGGTGCGAGACTAGTCTCAAACTCTATATCCCGATTTCCAGGCTTCAGAAGAGTCGAAATGCGGGGTTGGGCCACAGGACGATCGGAGCGGCCCAGGGACACTGGCGGCTTGTCAGCTGGAATCAAAGATCCGACACCGGAATGGCGGTTTTAGGTTGCAGCACAAACGAGCTGGATGATAGGTCCAAAACACCGAGGATAGCGGGATGTTTTCACGCTTGGCGATAACTGAGGGTCCCTGTCTGCCCTTAGCGTTTCAAAGCAGCAGTGGGCCTGACAAAAGCCCCTGGCTACCTCGACATTTCGTCAATCAAACAATAACCTTGTCTCTGCACTGCGATGGCTCGAAGTGTGAACCCATCACTTATCTCAGTCACTGGTTCCTCTGTTATAGAACACTAGACTTCAGGCCTGAGCCATTTCCACCGCGGTTCAGCTAGGTTCACTGAAGTATGTTGACCCAGTTGGACAACGGAGACCAGGAGAACCTGTGCAGATGTATTTATATTACCAACCGTTGTATATTCAATGCTAATATCTTGTTTAGGTGAGCTCTCAGGTCCAGAGTATACCACTGGAAAGGACCACTCATGGGATGATGACCAAGAGGAGTGACGGCGGAAGCCTCACCATTTATCAGAACACCACCAGTGCACTGCACCCACCGTCAATCTACGGTGTGAGTCACAGCTCTTGGGCTCGGACTACGATGGTCGAGTCTTGCTATAAGTCAGACTACTCTCCGCCCAACTTGTCCCTAAGACACCACATCCCGCTTCCCCCAAGCCACATGCTCCGACACCCAGTGCCAACTCAAATGGTCAAGCCATGGCACAGTCCACACCAAAATTGACAATGATCGAGCACATGAGAAAAGGCGGGGAGATTAATCAAAACTCAAATGCCGGAACTAACCACCATGTTCACACATTGATCAGCAGTGCCAAGAGTGGGAATACGAGATGGTTCATGGTCGCCGTATGACATGGAGGCCAGCGGCTTCTTGTAGTGCTATAAACACATCATATAAACAATTCGTTACATGCAACCGCCCTGAGCTTCGATTGAGCATGTCTCTAATGTTACTTGATGTTGTTCCCAGCATGCTCACCAGCATAGGTCTTGTTGCTCTCGCAACACTCGGATCTCTCCAACAATGCATGGCCACCGCCAACCTGCCGCCCGCTGTCCTGAAACGAGATACCTCGCCTCCTGGGGCGGGCAGCCTTGTGAAGAGGGAAGTCTGCTCGGACGGCACCCGATGCATTGTAGGCAGCTGCTGTGGTGACGGGTGCTCCTGGAACTGTTGTGGTCTGGACCAAGGGGGGTGTAAGATCCCATCCCTCAACGAGCAGTCCTCTGGCTGCGCATAGAACTATGGATGACTGACCGACACAATAGTTGGATGCGACCTGGGCGCGCGGTGCCAGTTCGACGGTAATGTGTTCATCGGATGCTGTGACAATTTCGTCGGGTATGCCTCGTTCACTAGTCATCTCCGCCGACACGTATCAACCTAACCTAGTATCCCAGAGGCTGCACCGGCGAAGGCACCCGCATCACCGTCCACACTCCTTACAGCACCGTCACCTTGAGCGACTCGACAGCTAGCGTATCAGCCGCGACAACTTCCTTATCGACTTCGTCCACCACCGCGTCAAGCGCAACGCGTACTACACCACCTTCAGCACAAACCAAATCGACCTCGGTACCAACCACCGCCCTCCCATCCTCCACCTCATCCAGCAAATTATCGCAGACGAACTCAACGTCTGCAGCGACAGGAGCACCCAACGCAAGTTCAGCATCGAGCACATTGTCCTCCTCCTCCTCCTCCTCTTCCTCATCCACAGCCCCATCCACCACACCTGCACAAACCCAATCCCCCAACAGTGCCGACATACCCCATTCCCAAGCCCGGGAAATAGCCACTCTCGTTGGACTAGCAGCCCTCGCATCGTGGTATCTCTTTTAGATTCCATTGATCAGAAATCACCATCCCTCGCCAGAAGCCCGCATTCTTTTCGCCACCATTCCCTTCATGAGTACAGCATAATCCATGTTCAATTTACCTACTGTACCGCACATTACCACCCAAATACCCAATCTACACACGCCAGCCCCCTATAGCCAGCAGCCAGACACAGTACCCACCACCCATACCCATGACCCATCCAAACCAAGCCCCAAATGCCACCACAACCCTACCCCCGGGGTACAAACCCAGCACCCCTGCAGCAACCAATGCAAACAATGCAAGCCGATCGCCCCACCCCTCCATCTTTAGCACACCCCAATCCAGATCGGCCCATACTACCCACCGCATTAAACTTCACAACAAGAGCGCCACACCCAAAACCCCAGTCCCAGCTGTAAGACGCGGCGGAGCACAAAGACCGTCAGGGAGTGCAGCCGTAGCCGTGTAGCCGTGTAGCCATGTGGGTACGGTACGGAGCTCTCCGATCGGGAACCTAACCTCAGGGTCGTATGATCGACCACCCACCCCGGAATAGTTCTCCGGGTGGATGCGGAAGGGTCGTGGGTCGTGGCTTGTGCGAGAAAGGGGATAGGATGGGTAGGATAGGGGCATTACTGGGAAGAATGTGGAGGGAGCTATGACCTAGCTTCAGATGATCGGGGTGGTGGTTTTGGGGGATCTATATTGGGTCCGTGGTTCTTGGGTGGTAGGAGATGCCACGTGATGCCGTGGGGGTAAGTTGTTGTATTTGTTAGGGTGAGGGTTTCTGGGCTTATGTGCATGCTAATTGGTATATGCCAGCGTACATTAATTCATTACATGGGATGTTAAGGTTGGTAGGTAGGGCGGTTCGAGGGTTGAGGGCTCGTCGACGATGGGATACATTGAAGCGTACGTTGCCCTCGATGAGCGAGTCGTGGGTATATCGCAGATGCTGGCCCGTACACAGAGTATTGCAACATCTATCAGGCGCTGTGTTCCACCGGGTTCTCTCCTGATTCCATATTTGTCTACACTCGAACCCATCGAGTGTGTGGCATGGGGCAACAGCTATGATATTCCTCGGTCATAATCCATAGGAAAATTCTACACGCATAACCCCAGATAAGTCACTACCGCAGCGAAACGAGTCTTGTGGCTTGAAAAACTACCTCAAGCTTTGTCCAAGCACTGGACCAGTACACAACACAAACCAAGCATCGATCATCCCCCATTCAAGATTCATACCTAGCAATACGTACGTAGATCGACACCCCAAAACCATGGTCCCCATCTCGAATCCCCCTTTTCAGGACTAGCGCATTCTGTAGATGGAAACCTTACCAAGAACTTTTCTTATAATCTTGAGCTACCTCAAAGTAGGTAACAGCCAGCAGAGACAGTTCTGGAACAACAATAATACTCAAAGACTATAGCTCACCGGCTTCTGCGCTTCTAGGCAGTTCTGCCGGGCCGACAGCGCGATCTCATCATGGTCGGCATAACTGGCGGTGTGCGCGTCCTGAGAAGTGGATTCGGGTCTTGTGATTTCGTCATTGCAGAGTGGGGATGCTGTTGAGAGCTATGAGGATCAATGTGAACGGTGACTTCGGAGCATTGCGAAGTTATGTCTTCCGTAGGTACTAGGTACTACGTAGTTATGGGTGTTTTGGCTGGTTGCAGATGGTTGGCTGGCCGTTTACTGAGCGTGCTAGTGAACTCGAATGTCGACAGTCATGCTTACATACTTGAAATTGCACTATACAGTACAAACCGCGTCTGATTGTCGTTTGAGGAGAAAGTATGTAATGAGGTAACTTCTCACTGTCCTCAAGCATTCTTGTCCCTGGACAAGTCTGCCAAGATCCGCACAAGTAGCAACTAATCCCGGTGGTGCATCAACGCCGGACCAAAATATATTCCCGCATGGAGAAGGGGTACAGTGCACATCTGGCCTGCTCCCCGCAGATAAACTAGGTAGTCTTCATAATCGCAACGTCGCCACGAAACCCACCAAAAGAGATCGCAACCCAAGTATTTGCAAAAGATCCCACCTATAAGTTACCAAAGGTTCGCAAAAAGACTGATTTGTAAGCTGCACCACGCCCCAGCAAGTTCAACCCTTTTTGACATCTTGGCACCCGCTTTCCCGAAACAACAAGATAACAAGATTTCACCCACGCCACAGGGAAAGCAGTTTTGACAAACCTATTTACCTGGTTGATATAAACCCTACAGGAAACCAAAGACCTGCTTCAAGGTTATCCTTGTGAAAGGCATCCCTCATCATTCTCAACACCACCAAAGGCACCCGCGCCGCATTACGTCATCGCATCGACAACTCCCCTAAAAATGCCCACGATCGGAGTCTTCCCCGCCGCCGGCGCCCTGGGCACCAGCACCATCAACCATCTCGTCAAGCTCGTTCCGGCGTCCGATTTGATCCTCGTGGCGCGGAAGCCGGACAACGACCACCTGGCCGAGCTGGCCCGCGCGGGGGCGACCGTCCGCCGGGCCGACTACGAGGAGCCGAGCACCCTGGACCGGGTCTTCGACGGGGTCGATGTGCTGCTGTTGATTTCCTATGCGTCGATTGAGATTCAGTTTCGGTTCGAGGTATGTTAAAAACTTTGCTTCCTACATAGACACATTCTGGAGAAATCTAAGCTAAAGGCCGAGACAGGCACATAAACACGCCATCGACGCCGCGCGGCGCAGCGGCGTGAAGCACATCTTCTACTCATCGCTGGGATTTGCGGGGGATCTGGAGACGAGCAGCGTGGCGCACGTGATGAAGGCGCACCTCAAGACGGAACGGTATCTGGCGGAGTTGCAGTCCTCATCATCCAGTTCTCAATTTACCTATACAGCGGTGCGGGAGGGGATCTACTCGGAGTCGTTCCCGCTCTACACGAGCTGGTTCGATCCCCACCACCCGGCGGATGAGGTGGCGATCCCGCATGCCGGCGACGGGCCCGGGGTGACCTGGGTGAAGCGCGACGAGCTGGGCGAAGCTACGGCGAAGCTGGTCGTCGGTTACACGAAAAGCCCGCGCGAGTTCCCGTACCTGAACCGCGTGCTGCTGCTCTCGGGCCCGCGGGAGATCTCGCTGCGGGAGACGGTCGAGATTTTGGGTCGCCTGGTCGGGAAACCCCTCAAGATCCGGGAGATCTCCATGGATGACTATGTCAAGCTGCCGCAGCATGGGAAGAAGTTCTTTTATCATGGGATTGATCTGACGAGGGAGTGGGCAACGGCATGGGATGCTATTCGGCGCGGGGAAACGGCTGTCGTCTCGCCGCTCCTGGGCCAAATCCTGGGTCGCGAGCCGGAAAGCTTCGAGACCACGGTCAAGGCTTTGTATGATAGTGGCGTGTCGCTGGCTGATCGCAGGTACTAGCGATCATTCCTCGAAATAAAATAGAATCATATTTCTCGCAAGAATCTCCATGACGCACATAATGACCGCTCGAATTCCGCATAGCGGGGTAAATGGCGGGTAAGATTCGGTCCCTGGATCGCTACCCGCGACGGCGACGAGACTTGCCGATATTCTTCTCGGTCGGCACTTGACCCTGCAGACAGGATACAGAGTTTATCAGGATGTGACCCCCCTGTGGGCTCGTGACGTGCTTGCAGGGTCGAAGATCCTCCCCCGATTCCCCCCCTACCCCGCGAACAACATCCGACCGCCTTTGCCGTCAGGCGGGAATAATCTCTTCCGGCAGCTTGTCACGGCACTACCCCCACGTCAACACCAGCCGTCGGGTGGTCCAGAGCCGGAGTGCGCTGACCTGCACGGCAGATCTAACGTAGAGAATAGGCGTTAGGCAGTCCGGACCGGACCCGCGGGTCTAAATCTGGTGATGGTCAGTGCTTGTGGAACTCGAACACGGTCGAGGCTTGCAGGTGTCGAAACGTAGCCTATCTCTAGCCCTCGAGGTGGGAGGTGAGGCATGATCCCGGCCCTGAGAAGAATTCCGGGCCACTGTCTGACTTCACCTGTCTTGCCTAAGCACCAGCTGGCTGGGTGCAGACTGAGGTCAAAGACGAGCCCGAGACAAGCTGCTGAGATCTCGAGATTGGATCTGCTGGCGGTGATCTTCCAGCTGCCTCTGATCTCATACCCATTCCCGTGCCTAGTCGATTAAACTCTGTAATAAGATCAGCCAGAGAACAAATCGGGTGGCTGCACTGCGGGGTTACCGTTCTGGGCTGGCGTTGTGAAGCTAAAGTCTAACCTTGTCCTGCCGCTAAGGGCCCGAGTAGCACTGGTCAATGACGCAGCGCATAATTCTGGAATAGGTTTTGTGTGGCCTGTGAGTGGTAGCAGAGAGGCATAGGGCTGACATCCAGACTGACATCTCCGAGTTTCATCCGGATCAAGAAAATTGTGGTCAGTAACTACTAAGTAGTTATCATGATCCTCCAAAGGGGGATAATGTATGCTCAAAAACGATGCCTCTGCCTTTCATCTCGTATCATGACCATCTCGTGTGCCGGAAGCACCTGAACCGAAGGGACATGATACTAACTAGTCAGCTGCTGGCAACACGACATCTGAGCCACGGGAACGAGGCGACCAGGCAGTTCGGACAATAGTATCAGATTGGGACAACGTTGGCTCTGTTCTCCAGACAAGGTTGACGGTTTCTTCCGACGGGGACGAAAATAATGAGGCTTCAGTTTTGGTTGGGGATCTCACGTCACAGATTTGGCAAGGGGAGGAGGGGAGTCGGAAACTAACGAGGAACCTTCAAGGGTTCTGAAGATGCCGGATCACACCACTGGGTGGCATCGCAACAAACCCTTGGGATCCGGCATCCGGTCCGCCTGGCTACCTTAGTGAAGGCGTATCCGCTGTGGAGGGACCTGAACCTTACTCTAACTCGACAAGGCTATTTCTCCAGTGCTGGATGCCGAAAAATTTACTAGCGTCCGTCCGCACTGCTGGGGAGGGGCCGTGTTGCATGCCGGAGATTTCGAGCTCGATTCATTCGTCAATTGAGCTTTAGTTGGATAGCTTGCTTGCTTAGTTCCAAATTCAGTCTATGGCTGAGCTTACCTAACTTAACCAGATTAAGCAATGTTTGAACTAATTAATTCTTCGATG